CTCTTTTGGACTAAATTTGTAAAACAATGACTGAGAAGGTTAGGAGGGAGGTGGAAACCTGAGATCCTGTAAAGCCAGGTACAATACTTTCCAACAGGTTGAACCTCTAGGGAGAGAAGAGGGGGCAGGGCGCGTGGTTACAGTCCGGCCTGTTCCTTGTGGGGGCGGAGTCTTAAGGCTGGGGGCGTGACCACGGGTCCGGCTTCTCTAAGGCAGTTAGCACCGGGGGCGGGGGCGGGGCCGAGGCTTCCTGTCTGCGCCTGCGGAATCGCCGTTTGACCCCGGAAGTGTCGGCGCACTGGGAGCTGTCACCGTGGACGGCGGCGGCGGCGGCGGGGGCGGCACAGCGCCGGTAGTGGAGCCGCCGAGGTGAGTGCGTGGCTGGGCCCTGCCGAATAGGGGGCATCCGGTCTGGGAGGAGTCGCGGCCATGCCCCCGGCGGCCGCGGGCCTCTCCGCCTGTCTGGCGGGGCCGAGACTGACGCTGCCCCAGGGGCCGTGAGTCGCCCCTGAGGCCAGGCCACCAGAGCCGTGAGTCTCGGGTTCGAGGCTCAGCCCCAGAGTGACCTTGGACGAGTCACAGGCCTCCTACTCTCACTCTGGGTTTCAGTTTCCTTAGAGTTCATTCATTCGTTAACAAATACATGTCTAGCGCCTCCTGCACAGATCTAGGCGCTGGGGATACAAACAGCAAGACAAACAAGTGGCAGGAGACAGCGACAAATAAAGGCACAAGATAATGAAAGATATGCCAGTAACTGCGGAGTGAATACTTTAGGTCAGGTTGTCTGCGAACATCTCTGAGGAAAGTAATATTGAATTGAGACCAGAAGGGTGATGACAGACAGAGAAACTGAGGCAGCAGTAGCCCTGGCAATGCTCTCAGGCCTTATTGTAGTTGGTGCTTGCACCAAGCTCACCTTCTATAGAAAGCCTTTTTCTAAGTTTTGGCTTCTGCTGCCCTGCTTGGCATGAAGGATGCACTGGCGGGCACAGATGGAACTTAGAGCCTTTCTGGAACTTACAGTCTAGTCTTTGCCTAGTTAATTTCTACCATACTTTAGATGAAACTCAAATCTTCCTTGACATGCTCCCTCCCTCAACTGTTCTCTCTGTTAAATGCTGTCACAGCCCCAGGGGCCTGACCTACATAGCATACATCATGGTATAACTAGTTTGTATGGCTATTCAATTCATATCTGTCTTTCCCATAAAGACTGTAAGGTCTATGAAAGGCAGGACCAAGTCTATTATTTGTCTACCTTGGTATTTGCCAGGCTTCAATGCTTGGCACATAGTAGGTGATCACAAATGACTAATCATTAATCATTAATATGGTCTTTGCTCTCCAAGGGTTCATAGGCAGTCTCTCTGCCACCAGGTTATTGTCTTTTCTTTCTGATTATATCTCTTCTCTACTTAAATGACTCCTCACTGCCTTCAGATGAAAGACCAAAATCTTTAGCATAGCATTGGAGGCTCTCTTTTTTGAGAGAGAGAGAGAAAGGGAGAGAGAGAGAGAGAGAGAACGAGCACAATCAGGGGAGGGGTAGAGAAAGAAGGAAAGACAATCCCAAGCAGGCTCTGTGCTGTCAGCACAGAGCTTGACTTGGGGCTTCATCTCATGAACTGTGAGATAGTGACCTGAGCTGAAATCAAGAGTTGAAGGCTTAACCAACTGAGCCACCCAGGAGCCCGGGAGGCTCTTTGTAAAATGTCTTCACCTTTCCTTTCCAACCTCATCTCTACTTCTGTCATCCCCTTCCTGACCTTGTGTTTTCAGCCATGCCAAATGTTTCCCTCTTCCTTCAAAGCCACTGGTTCTGAATCTTTGTTCACACTTGCTCTTTGCTTGGAATGTTCTTCCTTCCCATCTTTCCTTCCTATCTTTCAACAACCAGTTATGGGTCATCTTCCCTTTCTCTGCTGTGCTTGTTTTGGATATTTCCTATTACAGCTCTGATCACACTGAATAATCATTTATATGCCTAGGACCCAGAATGTATTCAGTCAGTGTTTGGTGAGTAAATGAGGAAGTCCCAAGTGTTCTGCCTATGGTTGGGACTTGTAATCACAAGCAAACCTTATTGAGTGCTTATTATGTGCCAAGTACTGTGTTGAACACTTACCATCGATTCTTCTCACATCTCAATTTTACAGGTGAGGAAATCAAGGCTTAGAGAGTTTAAGGAACTGTCTCAAGGTCTCAAACATGGGTAGGAAAAGGTGGAGCCAGGATATGAACCCAGGTTGCAGAACTATAAAGCTCTCTTTTAACCACCACAGCAGCCTGGGTCTGAACCACCTTTATAGGCACTAGCTTGTATGAGTGGATTTCTTCTGAAATCAGGTAGCTGTCTCTACCCATCTAGGCCTGGTCTCTGTGGCTTAGAATTTAAAGGACAAAGAGCCACCACCTACTATGGCTCTTTCCCCAACCTAGGTCCCTACATTGGACACTCCCACAACCGTCTTTGGAATGTGAATATGGAAAGAACAGGGCCTGTGAGTCATTTAGATTCTGCACTGGTGAGCAGACCCCTGGTGTTCCCAGCTGCCCTCCCAGCATCACTAGGGGGTTAGGAAATAAATATTTTTAGTATGTTCAGCACAGGAGACCCAGGTGCTAAAGCAGAAGGTCTGGGCTTTAGTTTCAACTTGGCCACTAATGTATATGCCTTGAGCAAATCGAAGTCCCTCTTTGGACATCTGAGCATAATACTCCTTGTTGTGCTTAACTGGGTTGTTGTGAGAGGCTAGTAAGATAATAACTTGATTAAAAATGATGTATGTGCAGGCGCCTGGGTGGCTCAGTCAGTTAAACGTCCAACTTCGGCTCAGGTCCTGATCTCATGGTTCGTGAGTTCGAGCCCCACATCAGGCTGTATGCAGACAGCTCAGAGCCTAGATCCTGCTTCTGATTCTGTGTCTCCCTCTCTCTCTCTGCCTCTCTCCCACTCATACTCTGTCTCTCTCTCTCTCTCTCTCTCAAAAATAAATAAACATTAAAAATTAAAAAAAAAATAATGTACGTACAACATGTGTACATTATCAATGTTTTGCAAAGCTGAAAGGTGAAAACTTACCCAAGCCCCTTTCATTACTTCACCTTGTGATTATTTTGAGGCCACCTCATGTGTGCAGGGACGACATGTCTGACCCACTGAGATTCTAGACCTGGAATAAGCCTTGAGGACTAGACAGAGTGGTCCTCTCTCTTTTACATCCTTTTATAATGGGTATCTTCACAGTCTTTAAAACAGCCCATGAACTAAGATCCTTTATGTACCAAGCTGCTTCCTACCTTCTTACCTTTGCTCTTGCTATATCCTCTGTCTGGAGCACCCTTCTTCCTGGCTAATCGCCACTATCAAGACTCAATTCAGGCTCTCCTGATCCTTTAGGCTCCCTAGAAATGCTTTCCTACAGCAACACCCAAGTTCAGCTACACTATCACTAGACTCAGTACAGCTAATGGTTAAGAGCCAGCCAGCTTCACCAACTACTGAGTCCTAGGGAAAGTTTCTCATCTTCTCTGAGCCTCTGTTTCCACATTGATGAAATGGGGATAAAAATAGACTCACCTTAGAGTTGTCATGAGCATTAATATATGCCAAGCATGTTAATGCTGAGAAAAGGCCTAGGAAAAGCACCAGCATATGATAAGCATGTTGCTGCTGCTGCTGCTGCTGCTGCTGCTGCTGCTGCTGCTGCTGCCATTATCATTGTAATTATTGGACTGTAAGCTCCTGTGGGGCAGAGACCCTGCATTATCAGTCTGTCTTCATAACACCAGGGCCTGGCCTGATATCTGAGATACGGGCCTCCCTGTAACTCATAGCTGACTGAGCCCCTCACCTCATCTGTGAGGTTCTCAGGAGGTGACAGATGGTTTCCTCATCCCAGGCTCAATATGGCTTTATGTTGTCATTGAGACTGTGCTGGCCTTTTATGGCATGTCTTCCATTAGTGAATTAGGGGCCCGATTCACTTCCATTCCATGATTCAGCCAATATGCATGTCCCTTCTGTGGGTCCGGCCAAGTAGAATTATGGACAGAACATTGGATGGGAAGACAAGAGACATGATGTCTGCCACTCACTGACTCTGAGGTGGGTTTGGGCCTCTGCAGAAAAGAGCTCACACTGGCAGGTTTCTGTGAATTCTGTTGTCCTCTCTGGTCCTTCTGTTCATCCATGTCCTTTTTCCTTGAAGCCTAAGGAGGTTGTAAAATATTAAAACTCTCTATAAGTGAGTGAGGAAAGGCTCATGACTCCATTCCCTCAAAAGACTGCCAATCTGGTTAGAATTCTTAAGAAAAGTGTCCTCATATTCAGTCACTCATTTGACGAGTCAAACATTTGATGAGACCAACTCTGTATCAGGCCTGTCACAGAAAAGATAGCAAGAGAAGGAGAGCCCAGGCACTGTCTTCACAGAGCTCAGAGGGACCACAGAGTTGGAGCTATAATGAAAATAATCTGTGTACTTTTTTTTTCACGTTTATTCATTTTTGAGAAGAGACAGAGCATGAGCAGGGGAGGGGCAGAGAGAGAGGGAGACACAGAATCTGAAGCAGGTTCCAGGCTCTGAGCTGTCAGCACAGAGCCCTATGTGGGGCTTGAACCCACGAACTGTGAGATCTATGACCTGAGCCGAAGTTGGATGCTTATCCAACTGAGCCACCCGGGTGCCCCCCAAAATAATGTACTTTTAGCCGATACAACACAAAGTCAGTGAGAATATATCAGAAGTCACTTGGGGAGTGTTTTCCTCCTCAGTTGAGAACTCCAGCATTAGGCAGAAAAGTCACCTCCGTCTGAATTAGTAGGTACAGGAACTGGGTCTTCAGGAACTAAGTCAGGAGCCTCCTGAGGCCAGAGGGTGAAGCCTCTCTCCTGGCTCTGAGATCAGTTCCAGAGCAGGCTCCTTCCACCAGGAGCCTATGTGTCTGCTCTCTTCTTCCCATCCATATTCCTTACAGGAGGGTCACACAGCACAATGCCATCTCTGCCCTTGGACCAACTCCAGATCACCCACACGGACCTGAAGACAGGAAAACTGAGGACTTCACCAGCGCTGGTGAGCCGGTACCTTGAGGCTGTTCAGCCTGATATTATCATTCTTGCAATTTCAGAAGCAAAAAGCAAATTCCTCCTTTATCTGTTCCAAGAATGACCCGAGGGCCATAGTCAATAGTAATTCAGTAGCTGGGACACTACTAGATCCGTCCAGACCCGGTGCAGAAGTTTCCTTTCTGAGCAGCAGCTTGAATTTGAGTAGTATTTTCCATGTTGCCACCCCACACCTTTCCTCCAAAGCATTTCATTTTGAATCAGAGTCTGATGGCAGTTCTGACTCAACCTGAGCTGGCCTAGAAAAAAGATCTAGCCCAAAGTCTGGTTTGGGGATTTGACCCTGCGGGAAGTGTTCAGGTTTCAGGTAGGCCTTTTTCAGAGCTGTCTCACCTATTATCCACACTTCAGGGGGAACACCAGTTTCAGAGGTCAGGCTGTCTTTTATTGCAATGGGCTAAGCGCCACCTGCCACATACCAACTCTGCAGGGCTTGGGAGACTGAAAAATAAGGAGGCTGTGAGCTGCAGAGTGAGATATGGGCTGCGGAGAGGTGCCAGGCTGCTGAAGGAGACAGACGTGGGGACTAGAGTCCCCGTACCCACTTACTGTTTTCCCAAGAATGTGAGCTTCCTTGAACAAGCTCAAGTATTGAGGAAGTATTTCCTAGGGGGGTTTGAGTAAAGTCGTGGGAAACAAGAGCTTGGTATTTTATTTCCTGCTTTCTGGATGGCTTCTTATTATTTCCTAACTACTCTTTAGTAATATGACTTAACATTTGTAGAGCACTTTCTCTGGGCCAAATCTTCCTAAACACTTCACTTGGATTATCTCGTTTAAGCTGTACCATGGCCCTGTGAGTAGGTATTTTGATTGTCCCCATTTTACAGATGAGGAAACTGAAAGTTCAGGGTCGCAGAACTAGGAAGTTAGGGGAGCCAGGATGGGAGCCCAGCTAGACTGACTCTCATACCCTTAAACTTTCTGCTATAAAGCCTGTGGGTTTGTTTTCATAACCTTTTTATGTGAGGAGGGTGTTTATCAGAAAATCTGGAACCGTTCTGCCTAGTATGGTAGCCACAGTGCAATAGTCATTCGCCACATATAGGGATTGCGCACTTGAAATGTGGATAATTTGAAGAACTGCATTTTTTATTTAATTTTAGTTAATTTAAATTAAAATAGCCCATGTGGTAAATGCCTACTGTATTTGTTAGCACAGGTATAGAACAGTTCCATTAACACAGAAAGTTCTGGGGCACTTGGGTGGCTCAGTTGGTTAAGTGTCCGACTCTTGATTTCGGCTCAGGTCGTGATCTCACGGTTTGTGAGTTTGAGCCCCATATTGGGCTCTGTGCTGACAACGCGGAGCTGCTTGAGATTCTCAGTCTTCCTCTCTGCACTTCCCCGCTTGTGCGCGCGTGCACGCTCTCTCTCTCTCTCTCTCTCAATAATAAATTTAACGAAACATTAAACATACACACACACACACACACACACACACACACACACACACACACACAGAGTTCTGTTGGGCTGGTGGAGACTGACTTCTTAAGTAGTTGACTGATTTTCCATCTCAGTCCTTCCCCATGTACTTAATACCTGGGTTGCTAGGCTGTGGGCTCCATGAGAACAGGGACCTGGTCCCTTCCCTTCATTCTGGTTTCCCAGTGCCAAGTGCATTTCTCTCAGGAAACATTCAGTAAATGAGTCAAGAACTCCAGACAGGCTTTGTGCCAGATGCTGGAGCTACAGAGAAAATAGACATGGTTCCTGGCCTTGAGGGGTGTGTGGACTAAGAGCAAAGGAGTCCAGTAGTTTCTCTATAGTGTGATCAGGGTTGTGATAGAAGTCCAGGTGGCTATGTGGGTGCAGAGCCCAAGCCACTGATCCAGACTGAAGGACTGTAGGGCTGGCTGGTCTTGGGAGTGGTGCTGGGGGGGCATGCACAGCTAGGGAAGGCTTCCTGAAAGAAGAGGATCCTGAACCAGGTATTGAAGGGGGAATAAGCACTAGCTGGGCAGAGCAGTGGGAGAAGGATGAACCCGGCAGGAGGACCCAAGTATACTTACTGTCCCAGAGTCTTGAGAGAGCCTGACTCCTACACCAACCACCAGTGACTCGGATGTAAGCAGTATCATTGAGTTAAGGCGCACAAGCTTTGTGTTAAATCTCACACATACTTGGCCATGTGACCAGAACATAGTAAGCACTCAATAATGGTGATGATGACAACAGTGACAAGTGGCAGAAGCTTCGAATGGGAAGTAGGGTGGGAAGAAGGATGAGCTGAGGGGAGACAGCTGCCTGATCAAGGAGTGGTCTTATTGACCATGCTGAAGGATATTTACCCACTGTGTATTTGTCTCTCTTTTTTTTTAAGTGTATTTATTTATTTTGAGAGAGAGCGAGAGCACAAGTGGGGGAGAGGCAGAAAGAGCGGGAGAGAGAGAATCCTAAGCAGGCTGTGTGTCATCAGCGCGGAGCCCACCCCGAGGCTCGATCCCACAAACTGTGAGATCATCACCTGAGTCGAAACCAAGAGTTGGACGCTTAACTGACTGAGCCAGCCAGGCGTCCCTGTATATTTGTCTCTTTAGTCCCAACTTAGGACAAGGAGATCTCTAGCCAAGGGGTAGCCACCACGCTGCCTTTGCAGGGTGATGGGTGGAGCTTATGTTTATTGAGTAGCTAACTGCGCACACAGCACACACTTGGTGCTCTTGAAAATCCGAAAGAAATAAAGTCTTGGGCCCAAATGAGTGAATGAGCCCCTTGAGGAAGACAGGACTCACGTAGGGGAACATTTGGAAAGATGTATAAAATAGTTTCTTATCAAGATAAGCAGAACAGAAGTTTGATGGGCAGGGAATGTCCAGAAAGCTTCACAGAGCAAGTGGGACCTGAGCCAGGCTTGAAGGGTGGAAGATACAGCTGGAGCCTGCTGCACTCTGCCCTGAAATCTCCCGTGGCTCCTGTTACCTACAGAATAAAGTCCCCACTCTTGAATTTGGCATTCAAGGTCCTTCAAAGAACTTGGTGGGATCTGGTCCTTCATTACACACCTTCATTCCTCAGCCAGCCAGTAAATATATACGGAGAGTTGGCTCAATGCCAGACACTATTCTAGGGACTGGGAATGCTGTGGTGAGCAAAGCCCAGATGGCTTCTGGAGACCTACAGGTTAGTGGGGGAGACAGAGAAGGCAGGCCCTCCCTTTTTATGTAACCTTATTAGGGTGTCATTGAAGGACACTAAACTGCACATATTTAATGTTTATTTATTTTTGAGAGAGAGAGAGCATAAGTGGAGGAGGGGCAGAGAAAGAGGGAAACACAGAATCCGAAGCAGGTTCCAGGATCTGAGCTGTTAGCACAGAGCCCGACACAGAGCTCAAACCCATAAGCCGTGAGAGCAGGACCTGAGCCGAAGTCGGAAACTTAACCGACTGAGCCACCGAGGCACCCCTAAGCTGCACATAATTTAAAGTATACAATTTGGTTGGTGTTGACACTAGTATATACCACAAAGCTATCATTGTAATCAAGATAATGAACATTTCTACCACTCGCAAAAGTTTCTTTGTGCCCTTTTGTGATCCATTCTTTCTTCTCTCCCCATCTGTAGTAACCACTGATCTGGAAGTACTTTTGATACAGTTCAGCAGGTGCTGTGGTTGGGGAAGCATAGAGGGCAGGTGTTAGGGGATCCCAGGTGAATCCCTAACCTAGATAGGGGTGGGAGTTGGGGAGATGAGGTCAGAGCTGGGCTCAGAAGGATAAAGAGGGAGACCAGGATGGCACATGGGTACTGTAGGTCATTCAGTCCATCAGCAGCATAAGCTTTGCTTCAGATCCTGTCTCAGTTGCCTCCTTAGCCCTGTGACCTTAGCAGAATTCCTGAACCTTACTGATTCTTTGTTTCCTCCTCTGTAAAATGGGGAGAATACTATTTCCCTTTTAAGTAGTTGTAGATAAAAAAGAAATAGGCTGTGGGACATACCTACTCAGTAGCCCGGCATTGGGCAGGTCCTTGTTAAGTGGTGGCTTTTTTTTTTTTTATTTTTTTTTTAATTAATTTATTTTGAGAGAGAGAAGGATTATGCATGTGTGCAAGTTGGGGAAGGGCAGAGAGAGGGAGAGAGAATACCAGGCAGGCTCCACATTGTCAACATAGAGCCCAATGTGGGGCTCAGACTCACAAACCCTGAGATCATGACCTGAGTCGAAGTCAGATGCGACCCAGGTGCCCCAGGTGGTGGCTTTTATTAGCACCATTCCAGTGTTCTCTTCCTCCAAATCTATTTCCCACCACCCAGTGCATTCTAGTTCCCTTTTATTTCATGGCCCATTTTTATCCCTCCATAAAATACCATTTTTCTCATCTAAAAATCTTTCTCAATTTCAGAGGCCCAGCTTAGATGCTGCCTGCTCTGAGAAGTTGTCCCTTGTCCTCTAGGTACAGTTGTCCCCTGTCCTGTAGGTATCTCTAGGTACCTTTTGCACTCCCACGGTATCTTTGCCAGGTTTGAGTTGTCACTTCCTCTGTTTTGTGCTCCCTTGATGGCTTAGATGTGCATCTGCCCCTCTGGAGCATAGGCTCTGTGAGCACGTGGATGTTTTCTTCATGTACATGAACATGCACATGACACACAACAGTGTGCCAGTAAATGTTTGTAGGATCGCAAGGAAGGTAGAATTTCAGGGTGTGTGTGCACGCACACATCTGTCAGAGGAGTAGGGGGTGATGAGTAGCCCTGCCTAAAAAGTGACCTAAGAGGGGAAATGACAACAGATAGAGGAGGGGAAGAGCTTGGAAATCAAGGAGATGAATTTAGATCCTAGAGAGTTGTTTTGAACTTGTTTCAGTCAGCAGGATTTCCTTTTTCAAAAAATTTGCACCTGGAAGCCCACTGTATAAATCCTGATTTCTTTTTTTTTTTTTTTTAAGTTTTTATTTATCTTGAGAGAGAGATAGAGAACAAGCAGGAGAGGGCAGAGAGAGAGGAGGACAGAAGATCCAAAGCAGGCTCTGTGCTGACAGCAGAGAGCCCAAAGCAGGGCTCGAACTCACAGACCCATGAACTATGAGATCGTGACCTGAGCCGAAGTTGGACGCTTAACCAACTGAGTCACTCAGGCATCCCTTAAATTCTGATTTCAGTGGGAGGGATTCTGAAGGCTCCTCTCATAGCTGGCCCCCAAGGAATCCTTGTGTGATTCAAAGACACCACAGTTTGAAGACTTGCATCAGGCAGTAGGGAGACATAGGGGGTTCTTGAGAAAACTGACCAATCAGTCATGATTTTCCTGTCCCCCTGGACTGACAAACCTGGAAATGGGTGGATTGTGGTTGATAACCACTGAGATGTTGCCCAGCCTTCCTCCTATTACCACTTCCCCTGGAGAAAGCAGCCCTTATGTAGTCAGGGGAGAAAACTGAGCTCATCTCTTTAAGGTGAACAAAGTAAGGTTTGTTCATGGCAAGGTAAGGGTTGGAAGAAAGAACTTATGAATTCTAAGCTGAGACCTGCCGTGTTCCTGGATTAGCATCTTTAAAAGAAAAAAAATTCCCGAAGTTGTTTTTTTTTTTTTTTTTTTTTTTTTTTTTTTTTGTCTCTGATTCTAAGAAGGATACAGCATGATACATACAGTATGATTCTGTTTATGTAAGAAAGATGAAAACAAATCTGAAATACCTTCTATGAGTATATTTTCCCCTAAAAGCCTAGAAAAGGTCTGCAGGGACACTTACTGAATGGTGAGTGGTCACCCCTGGGAGGACACGGCGACACGGGGAGTTATCCTCCCAGGAGACTCTCCTTCTCGGCAGGATTGTAACTTTTGAAAGAAAATATGTGTCTCCCTCATGTAATTACAAAATAACTTAAAAAGTAATACACGTGTATGTTTTTTAAATTGGAAAATATATTCAAGTCCTAATTACCCCCCACCAAAGGTAATCACTATTAGCTTTGGGTTGTTACTCCCCCACTCCACCGCCACTTTTTTTAACCTGTGTAAATATATATATTTCTTTAAAAATCCCCAAACTGGTTAGGGGCGCCTGGGTGGCGCAGTCGGTTGAGCGTCCGACTTCAGCCAGGTCACGATCTCACGGTCCGTTGAGTTCGAGCCCCGCGTCAGGCTCTGGGCTGATGGCTCGGAGCCTGGAGCCTGTTTCCGATTCTGTGTCTCCCTCTCTCTCTGCCCCTCCCCTGTTCATGCTCTGTCTCTGTCCCATAAATAAATAAAAACGTTGAAAAAAAATTTAAAAAAAAAAAAAAATCCCCAAACTGGTTATATTAAATAGGTTCATATCCTGCTTTCTCTTCCCTTGACCTTTCCCCGTGTCATTAAATATCCTCCAAAACACATGGTTTTGAATGCCTGCCTAGTGTTCCCTGGATGCAACCAAGCCCCCTTTGTTAGAGACACTTGGTTCTTTATGCTTAAAAACTCCTTGGAGGGTCACCGGTTGGAACAGCCAAGTGTTGTCATTGCTGTGGGTTGGCAAATGGGCCCTCGCTGACTAACCTCTGCCACGTTAACACGTGGTTTTTGGATCCGTAGCACCCCGAGCAGAAGGCAGACCGGTATTTTGTGTTATACAAACCGCCCCCTAAAGACAACATTCCCGCCCTAGTGGAGGAGTACCTGGAACGCGCCACCTTCGTAGCCAATGACCTCGACTGGCTCCTGGCCTTGCCTCACGATAAATTCTGGTGCCAGGTAACATTCTATCAAAATTAACACTAAGACAAAGCACATGACATGCCGTTGGTTGGTTGCTGTTGTTGTTTTTCTCCCCCTAGGAGATGCTTTTCTCTCTACTTCTTACACTGGATCCTTAACAGCAAATTGTGGTTTGGATTGTTCTGTCTTGTATCACGATCTTAATGATGTTTACACAACGCCTTCCAACGTGTCATTTTTAGAAACTTGTGTTTAGCCCTCGGCTCATTCATACCTCCTTAGTCCCTTGGGGTTGGAGTGTTTGCCTTAGGCCAGGGCTGGTAGGCCATGAGCCCCTGCACAGTCCACCCACAAGCCCTTGGGCCTCAGTGACAAATCCTTGCTCTGATCTGTTGTCTGGCATAGGTTATCTTCGATGAAACCCTGCAGAAGTGCCTGGACTCCTATCTGCGCTATGTCCCCCGAAAGTTCGACGAGTGGGTGGCCCCGGCCCCTGAGGTTGTTGACATGCAGAAACGGCTCCATCGAAGTGTTTTCCTCACCTTCCTCCGCATGTCCACTCATAAGGAATCCAAAGTAAGCCCCTGATCCCGTGATGGGGTGCTACCTGCCACCCGACACGTCTGTGCCAGACTCTCCCGCCCCTGGGAAGGAAGGCTCTGGAAGTATCACGTTTCCTCTTTGTCTCCCCTCCGCCTTTATTCCTACCATTGGGGAAGAAATCTGTGCCACCCATCTTATCCGCAAATTCACTGGGTCTGTATTACATCAAGTATTTTCATCAATGGAAGCCGAGGCCCCTTTGCCAGTTGACATGTAACTGCCTTTTTTTATGCTTCAGAGGATTGAAAACATTGATCCTGATTTGTTAAAGGAACTTGTATGTGCTTTTTTTTTTTTTTTTAACATTCATTTATTGTTGAGAGACAGAGAGAGACAGAGTACGAGCAGGGGAGGGACAGAGAGAGAGGGAGACACAGAATCTGAAGCAAGCTCCAGGCTCTGGGCTGTCAGCACAGAGCCCAGTGTGGGGCTTGAACTCACAAACCGTGAGATCATGACTTGAGCCAAAGTCAGACGCCTAACCAACTGAGCCACCTAGGCCCCCCACTTGTATGTGCTTTTTAAAAACATTTACTTTTATTCCTCCAATTTGAAAAATCATGCTGTCTCTAAACAACTCAAACATTACAGAAAGGAAAATCCCTTTCCCTGAAAATAACCACCATTAAGGTGCATATTCCTTCAGGGAATTTTTTTTCCTTTAGATGTGTGTGTGTGTGTGTGTGTGTGTGTGTGTGTGTGTGTGTGTACATTTATTTTTACAATAGGATCTTGCTTTTTTTTTAACTTTGTAGTATAGAAATTTTCAAATATATACAAAAGCATAATGAATCCTACATACCCATCACCAGCTTTAATAATTATCAATATTTTGCCAATCTTATTTTCTTTCTTCCCCTTAATTTTCTTTTTTTTTTTTATTGGAGTATTTTCTTTCCCTTGAGTATATTAAAGCAATTCCAAACATCATGGTAATTTACCTGTAAATATTTTATTTTTAGTTTAAAGTAAGCTCTACGCCCAATGTGGGGCTTAAACTGATGACCCCAAGATCAAGAGTCACATGCTCTACTGAGCCAACCAGGTGCTGCAACCCATAAATATTTTAGAATGAATGCCAACCAACTTTTTATAGTGTATTTTTGCTTCTTTTTACATTAAAATGAGGAATAGCTATACCTCTAGGCCAATATATAAGGCCCAGATATGTCCACAGAGTGTACAGGCTTTCATTTATGAGCCAGTCCCCTGTTGTTTCTTGTGAGTTTGCTGTTACTTCACAAAGATATGCTTTCAGACAGTCTCTCATCCTCCCTCTCTGTACTGTTCCTTAGGATCACTTCATTTCCCCCTCTGCATTTGGAGAAATCCTCTACAATAACTTCCTGTTTGACATCCCAAAGATCCTGGATCTCTGCGTGCTCTTTGGAAAAGGCAACTCACCATTGCTCCAGAAGATGATAGGTACGTAAGGCACAGGGCCTAGAGGGCTGCACAGAGATGGCCCCCACATGCCGAACTAGACATCCCAAAGGTGACACCTAGATGAGCGCCGGGGGATTCAGAACTGTAGTGGCGGATGGGGCTTGGGTACGACCTTGCAGGTATATGTGTGTCAACTCTGAAAGATGCGACTAGGTGGCCATGGGGGAGTGGAGACAACACTGTATCGCACGGTCCCTTAAGGATCTTAGTATTAGGCCACATGCCAAACAGCTGAAGTAGTGAGGAAGTTTGCTTTGGTGGTGAGAGTAGAACAGCAGTGATTGCTAACCTCTATGTGAGTGCTCACTGGGGGCCCAGCACTCTGCTGAGTGCTCCTCCTAAGTGATCTTAATGGATCCTCACGGCAGCCCTGTGATGTGACACTGTAATCACCATTATTTACAGACAAGGAAATGGAGGTTAAAATAAGGGACTTGCCTGAGAGGCCATGACTAATAAGTGGCCAAGCTGGGATTTATGTCACATAGGCCTGACTCTCGAGCTCTTGCTCTTCGTCCCTCCCTGCTTCAAGGATAATGGGGCTGCCCCCAAAATGTCATGATTTGCATTGTTGCTGAGAATAGATGGAGACAGAGTTCAGAGAGGACTCTTTTGGGTTGAGAAAGGAATGACTTCAGCAGTTGGATCCCGTCAAGAGGCAGTGGGCCAGAGGCGCCTGGGCGGCTTAGTCGGTTGAGTGTCCTACTTCAACTGAAGTCATGGACTCGTGGTTTGTGAGTTCAAGCCCCACATTGGGCTTGTTGCTGACAGCGCAGAGCCCCCTTTGGATCTTCTGTCCTCCTCTCTCTGCCCCTCCTCTGCTTGTGTACACATGTGCTTTCTCTCTGTCAAATATAAGTAAACATTAAAAAAAAAAAAGCAGTGGGCTGGAAGTTTCCATCAGAGACTGAAGCTTTGGTTAAGATGTGACAGAGGGAACAATGCCCCAGTGGATTCTTCTCTGCTTTGTTTCAATGCTGTCAGCACAGAGCCCAATGTGGGCCTGGATCTCATGAACCGTGAGATCATGACCTGAGCTGAAACCAAGAGACGGACGCTTAACCAACTGACCCACCCAAGCGCTCCAGCCAGTGGATTCCTCTTTGAACCACAGCTGATGGCATTGGGCTGGACACAAAGAGGTGCTCACCCAGGACACCACTGTCAGCTTCTCCTCTGAGATTATAGGACATAGTCCTCTAAATGCCCAATTACAAAGCTAAGTTATCCCTTGAAATGGCTTGCCTCCTTCCTTCCTCCTAATAATAAAGGTAATAATAAAGATAATATATATTAATTTAGAAAATTTGGGGAGAATATAAAATGTAAAAAAGCAAGAAAGCAATTACCAAATTCCTGCTCCCAGAGACAATCATTTGGTGATTATTTCCTTCCAGTCTTGTCTCTCTATATTTTTCAGGACCATATCAGAGCATAATATATATGAAATTTCACATCCAGCCTTTTCATTGGAACAGCCTCTGATTTCCCATTCAAATCTAATTGTTCCCTGATCATCAGTTCATTTCTTTGACTTTCCCAGAGAAAGACTCTTCATAATGTTACTGTGGACTGAGGGCATGGGGTGAGTGAGCAAAAACAGGCATGATTAGTTAGAGAAACAGTTATTAGGCCAGTCTGGTTAGAGCGGAGCATTCCGGGAGGACAGCAGCAGGAAATGGGGAAGGGAAAGCTGGGGCCACTTCAGGGAGGGCTCCATGTCAGTCTTTAGCACTTGGGGAGCAGTGTCGCTTGGTGTCTCAGAAAGCAGGCTCTGCCCAATTCACACCCCAGCTCTGTTCCTGGCTGTGTCACTTTGTCCAAGTCAGTTAGCCTCTCTCGGCCTCAGTTTTCTCATCTGAAGGATGGGAAGACTAGTGATACACCTACCTCATAGGATGGTTGTGAGGATTAGCATGGTGCCTGGCTCATTACAAGTGCCTGATGACTGTGAGCTCTTACTGTCATGAGGCCATGGGAACTGCAAGGAGGAGCTGTCTGGTATCAAGGTTAATTTGGCAGCATGCCAGTGGGGAGGGTGGTGACAGGAGGCTGAGGAGGGGGCCAGTGCTTCAGCGTGGGTTTGAAGGTGAGAGCCTGGTTTGGCTACTGGGGCAGAAGAAGACATCCCGGAGGCAGAATAAAGCAGTGCTTAGGGAGTTCAGCTGGAGGGAAAAGTTTGAACAATTCTGGAGAAAACTGGTGTCGGGTGCAGAGAAAGGGCCTTCGGGAGGGGTGGGGGGTGGAGAGGGTTATGAGTGGAGGCATAGAGATCTGTGAGGTGTGAGATGCTGGGGGAGAAGACTTCTGGCCACAGTTCCAGGTGGGCAAGGGTGGTGTGAGAAAGCCCCCAATCTTTTGAGTCACTGACTTCTTTGAGAATCAGATGAAATCTTGTCCCCAGAAAAACATACCGCCTTACAGATGTTGAGGTGTTTTAGAATGTTTTTAGCCCCAGATTGAGAACCCTTAATTGACTTATTTAGGAGAGCCCTTTCTTCGGCTCTTAGAGGGTGGTTAATGGAAAAGAGGACAAGAAAGGCATACAGAGCCCCTTCATTGTGTGTGTGCTGGGGTGTGTGCATTGAGGGGGGTATGGAGGAGGGGCCTGCAGACACTCACACACACACACACATGCATGCATGCATGCATGCACACACACACACACACAGCTGCGCTCTTTCCAACCCTTGAGCAGGAGGCACATAAAGGGGTGGCCTCCAGTTTCTCTACCACAGACGCTCTTGAGCAAAGCAGGTCAGCTGTAGGAAGAGGGTTGACAAGGGAGAAAAGGAAGGAACAAGGGAACTGGCTGATTTTCCTTTGGGCAGAAGCCCAGTCCTTATCTGGCACCCCCATCCCCCTGTACACACACCCGGATTTTTTTTTTAATTTCAAGGTTGATAATTCTGAATTAGTAAGTGTAATTTTGAAAGCAGGGCCTTTCAGGTAGACTCTTGGAGCCTCTTTGCGAAAGCAGGAGTGCATCAGGCCTTGGCCCCACCAAGGACTGCACTGATCTCTTTGGCAATATCTTCCATTCACCCTGGGTTTCTTTTCTTTCTTTTAATTTTTTTTAATGTTTATTTATTTTTGAGAGGAGGAGAGGGGCAGAGAGAGCAAGACACAGAATCTGCAGCAGGCTCCAGGCTCTGGGCTGTCAGCACAGAGCCCGACACAGGGCTCAAACTCATGAACTATGAGATCATGACCTGAGTGAGCCGAAGTCAGACGCTTAACCAACCGAGCAATCCAGGCACATCCTTTCTTTCTTTTTAAGTTTGTGTATTGTGAGAGAAGGAGGGAGAGAGAAATTGTGTGCGTGCGTGAGCATAGGGAGAGGAGGGGCAGAGAGAGAGGGAGAGGGAGAGGGAGAATCCCAAGCAGGCTCCACGCTCGGTGTATAGCCCAATGTGGGGCTCGAAGTCACGAACCATGAGATCATGACCTGAGCCAGAATCAAGAGTCAGATCTTTAACCAACTGAGCCACCCAGGCGCCCCCCACTTTTTTTTCCCCTCTGGGTTTCCATACTGCTTTAGCCTGAGAAGGTTGTCCCTTACTTCTTAACAGTTTCTTTGTGAAACTGAAAGTCAGAACTTCACTGTCACTGGATCAGATAAAGGAGAGGAAAGAGTCAGTTGTGAAATGTGATGTTTTGATGCTTGTAAAACATCCCTGTTACTCAGGCTTAAGCACTAGAAGGATTATAAGAGAGGGCCTTACCCCATGCCAGGTAGTCAGGATGTGGTGGGGTCCACCATGTGGTATGGGGTGAGGAGGGAGACCTGCTCCTAATGCCTGGGTCAGGAGGCACTGCCTGGAGAAGGTGACACCTGCCTTAGGGTGAACTTAGCTCTGAGAGGTCACTCCAGGTGGAGGGAGGGGATGGGGCTTGTTCTCTGTGGTTGAAGAGGTATGAGAGAGGAATGCAAGGCAGGAAATGGGGAGAAGGTGGCTGGAGATGCCAATGGGGCCAGATCTCACATGGCCCTTTGTGCTGTGGTCAGGAGTTTTGACTTGACCTTGAGGATACCTTTGGATAGGAGGGTTTTGTGAGAAAGAACAGAGTTTGGTGGGGAGACAAGACAGTTCAGTCTCTCCCTGCCATCAAGTTTAGGATGCACAGATGGTCAGGGAGTACCTTTATGGGTTGAGGGGTCAGCACCCATCTGGAGGTGGGATGCACTGAGCAAGCTCAAGCTGCTAAAACTCAGTTTTCTGGAATGAAGCAATGAAGTGGCATCCAAGAAAGTGTTTACAGAAAGTCCGGCTACATAGTGACTTGCTTACTCACCCAGTCCCATCTGGCCTTTGATCTCATTGATTTTTCAAATCCTTTGAGATGGGGCAAGGGCTGCAGGGTTTTCATTAAGGAAACTGAGGACACACCTGCCCAAAGACAAAGGACTCGTAGAATTCAGCACATCCTGACAGTCGCCCAGCCTCAGACTTTAGGATCACGGTGGGATGAAGAACCCTGGCCTCTTCTTAAGGGTGTTGGCATTTTGCATTGTCATGCCTCCTAGTTTGCTGTGATTTTTTCTCCTTCCCTTGCCATTTGGGCAGCCGGAACACTTGGTTTCTGTTCCAGTTACCATATGCTCTAACCTACGTACTCACAGCAGCCGCACTCGGAGGTAGTAAACATTCGGAAAGGAGTTTTGTTTTTTGAGAACAACTGCAAATGTGTGGTAACCTTAGCTCGAGATGTCTTTCAGGCCTCTCACCTTGGAAGAGGATGGATTAATATGGCTAGCATATTCAAAAGCAGAGGGTAAGAGAATTTCCAGACAAATTTCTCCTTAGAGTCTCCTCACATTATTAGAGGTGTGGCCTGGCAAGAATCCTGGATTGTAGCCTCCAGGTTTCTTAAGCAAAGAGATCATATCTTCTAATTTTCCTGGATGACTAACTCCCACTTCCAAAGCCAATGCTGTCATACAAGGCACGGTGCCCAAATGTGATCACTCCCTGGGGACATCAGGGCGAGCTGGTTTGACCAGGGCAGGCCTTTTATGTAATTCGCTAGGCAGAGGTGCTTAAAAGGTTAAATTGTACTGAGTAAAGTCCCTCCCTCATGCTGGGGAAGTTTCTAGGCTGGGCCAAAGCTCTGTGCCAGCAGGGCCTGGGGCCAGGACTGCTCTAGTGCAGACAGGCTTAGGAAAAGGGAGAAAGGTCACAGAATATGCTGGCAACCATTTGTAACGTGTCCTCTCCTCCCCCACCATCTTTTCCCAATTCCTACCTTTCTCTTCTCTTTTCAGGGAACATCTTTATCCAGCAGCCAAGTTACTATAATGACCTGGATGAAACCATGCCCACCATCCTTCAGGTACCAGCTCTCAGCCCTGCCCAGATCCCTTCTCCAACCCTGGACTTTCCTGGAAGAGCCCAGGAGAAATGCTTACTCCCTACCTCTCTCCAACCCCATCTCCAGACAGTCGCTGTGTCCTGCCCCTTAGCACACACTTTCAAATTCACCCTTTTTCCCTCTTGAACAGAACTGAAATCTAAGGGCTGTCTAGCACTCATACAAAAAGAGCTTGGCTTCTATTGTGTGCTGTTCGCCAACAGCCATAAGTCTCTAAGGTTACCCGTTTAAGATACCTGTGTTTCTCAAATAAGAGCTTTAAAGTTCTATAAAATTGTTTTGTAAGATAATGTTCATTGTAGAAAATTTGGAAATGATGGAAAAAGAAAACAGAAAGAGGAAGATTAACCCATAATCCTACCACCAAGAGATTCCACTATTCACGATAACTTTTAAGGTAGTTACGTGCTAGCATACTTAAGACGGTGCAATGGGTTAAAGACTTACACGATTTTACGATGGACCGTTTTCTCCTCACCGTTGATTTGCCTTTGATTTCAATATAGTTTCCATAAATTGCCATCTTCAGAGAATCCAAAACATATAATATATTGCTAAATATATTTTTTTCTTTTTTTTTTCTGTATGTATCTTAAATTATTTATTATGATACATTTGCCCAACATATCCATTCAAGTAATATCTGCAGGATTCTGGGGGCTTTCCATACATTTTGTCTTTTTAATCCTCACCACAGTCCTGTAAGAAGAATAACCCCCATTTTTACATTTTCCCATTTTACAGTTTCCACTCTGCCCTGCATCCCATCATTGTCTCTGGTTTCATGGGAACACTAGCATATATTCCAGAGATTCCAAGACAGCTTTCAGATCACTCATCCCAGACTGCAGGTCATGAGTTCCAGCTGTTGGTTTGACAGGATGTGAGAGAGCCTTTTCTTGTGTTTCACAGGTTTTTAGCAATATCCTCCAGCACTGTGGTTTGCAAGGGGATGGGGCCAGCGCCACACCCCAGAAGCTTGAGGAGAGGGGCCGGTTGACCCCCAGCGACATGCCTCTCCTGGTGAGGTTACCCTTCAGCCCAGCCTTTGTGGCTAGCAGGGGATCTGGCAGCTGCTTCCCATGCTTGTGGCCCTTTTTACCCAACTCCATAAACAGTTATTCCCATCACACAGGTTTAGACCATATCAGCAGGCTTTTTTTTTCTCTGGGAGCTTCATTTATGGAGTAGTGGAAAGAACAGGGAACTAGAGTTCAGAGGATGGGAGTTTAATCTTCATTTAGTTCAGCACAATGAGCTCATTCGTGTTATTCATTGAGCCCTGCGTTCGTTCAGCGAATTTATACTGAGGAGCCCCCAGCATGTGCTGAGCCTTCAGGATAAAACAGTAGGCAAAAGCAGACATGTGCCTGCTCTCATGGAGCTTACAGTCTGAGACAGAGGTAAATACTTAAGGAGCCTAGATATGCATCAGGCCTTGTGCTAAAAGTACAGTAGATAGAGCAGGAAAGAGGCAGCCATGAGCTGCCCTCCTGGAGCTTCCAGTCTTGTGGGAAAATAGGCATTAAACAAGTGTTTCAGACAGACACACACTGAGTACTGTGGGAACAAGTCATTTTACCCCTCTGAACCTCAGTTTCCTTCTCTGTAAAACAGAGATCCTAACAACTGCTCAGCCTCGTTTTTAGAGTTGTCACGAGACTCAGGGATGTGTATGAGAAGGTATTCCATGTTCCATCCTCTTCAAAATGTACGAAAGGTATGGGCTTGTTATTGTCCTCAGTGGAATGTGCTTTCTGTGTGGGACCACAGGCGTTGTCTTCAGGTTCAGGGGTGGTTCTCCTTCAGCTTAGAAGAGAGAACTATATTAACCTAGACCTAGAAGTAACCCCAGAGCTCACTGGGTCAATGCCCATTGGAGCTAAGGTAGCAAGACCTGAAGCAGGGAGATTGAGTAACTTGTACAGATCACGCTCCTAGAGATGGAACAACCAGGCTTTGCACAGACATCTGGTCTTCTCTTCCCCTGACAAGGTATCTGCCTGATGGCTCCCACTGGCTTTTGTCAACTTTGTCTCAGACCCACTACAGAGCTGTGTATGGGGGCAGAGGAGAATAATGCAGTGTTTTCTTTTGGCAACAGGAATTAAAAGACATTGTTCTCTACCTTTGCGATACCTGCACTACACTCTGGGCCTTTCTGGATATCTTCCCTTTGGCTTGCCAAACCTTCCAGAAACATGACTTCTGTTACAGGTACAGTAGTAGTTCTGATTGCTGAAGTAGAGGTTCTCGTTGGCATCCTCATTCAGCAGATATTTACTGGGTACTTAGAATGTGCCAGGCCCTCTTCCAGCCTGGGCATACAGCAGTGAAGACGACAGATGAGGCTCCTGCTTGTGTGGAACCTGCATTTTATTTATTCATTTGTTTGTTTGTTTATTGTTTTTTAACTTTTGTTATTTCTTTTAATGTTTATTTATTTTTGAGAGAGAGAGAGAGAGAGCACGAGTGGGGTAGGAGCAGAGAGAGAGAGGGAGGCACAGAATCTGAAGCAGGCTCCAGGCTTTGAGCTGTCAGCACAGAGTCCGACACGGGGCTCAAACCCATGAACTGTGAGATCAGTGACCTGAATTGAAATCAAGAGTTGGGCGCTCAACCGACTGAGCCCCCCAGGCTTTCCAAGCCTGCATTTTAGAAGCCTTCCCATTTTTAGCCAAGAACTCAGTAAGGGAGGGAATAAAAAAAAAACACCAACCAAGAATAGGGCAGTGTTAATTCAGTTCTGTTCTTTCAAAGCCCCTATCATGGGCAGGCACAAGGGAGTAACGGACAATAAGAATTGGTCTGAGGACTTCAGCATCTAGTCTAGAGCACACACAGAGAGACATTCAGATTTGCTCACTTGTGGGGCCAGCTGTTGTGGCCATATTATGAAGTGCTCTGGGAACACAGAGGAAGGAGGCAAAGTTCTGTCTGGTGAAATAAGAGGTTTTAAGATGCCCTTTAAGTGACATCTGGAAGAATGAACAGGAACCTTCCAGAAAGAGTAAGATTACAGTGGTAGGAAGGGCATTCCAGGCAGGCAGAGTACAGGTGGGAAGGCCCAGAGAGTGTCCAGGGAGTGCCAGGAAGTGGAGTGGGATGAAGCAGGGCCTGGGGCAGTAGGAAAAGGAGCAGGTAAGGAGAGTCTCCGGAGAGGTTGGTAGAAGTCAGATTGTGAGGAGTCTTGAACTTGCTCGCGGGGAGTGGGGCCTTTATTCTGTAGGCAGTAGGGAGCCCCTGGAAGATTTATTCGAAAGGAGTTCTAGAAAGATCCTGCCAGGATGAGGAAAGATATAGAGGAGGATATGAGTAAAGAAAGATATAGGGAGAGAGACCCTCCTTGCCCACTGGCACCACAAGCATCTGTCTGCTCCTTGTGCGGTGAGAAAGGGGTGCATGGCTTGGCCTGGTAACCTGCATGTTGCCTGGCAACAGTGGGGATTGGCTTGTTCTCAGTGGCCTCTGGCTGTTGCTCTTGCCAGGCATCATCTATCCCCACCACTCGCAGGAGCCTCTGGGAGCTGCCCAACTCTGTCCACTCAGCCGTTGGTCCATTCAGTCATTTACTTGCCCATTCAACAAAACATTTATCTAGTGCTGACATGTGCCAGAGATGGCAGCTGGTGCTCTGACCCCTCCTGGATCTCCTCAGCTCGTGAAAATCAGATGTGAGGACTGATCAGCCTCCCAGAAGATGTTAGAATAAAGCACCAATCAGCACTCTCTCTGGAAGAAAGGGGTTAGAATGGGCCTGTAGCTGTCCACTTTTTGAGAAAGGTATCTTTTCTCATGGTTAAAGTGGCATAAACTGGCAAATGCTCATAAGAAATTTGGAAAATTCTGGAAGGTAGAAAATTAAAATCACCATGAGAGATCAGGCTGTTCTTAGGATTTTGTACCCTGCTTATCTTCACTTATCATAGGAATTTTCTTTCTTTTCTCTTTTCTTTCTTTCTTTCTTTCTTTCTTTCTTTTTCTTTCTTTCTTTCTTTCTTTCTTTCTTTCTTTCTTTCTTTCTCTCTCTCTCTCTCTCTCTCTCTCTCTCTCTTTCTTTCTTTCTTTCTTTCTTTCTTTCTTTCTTTCTTTCTTTTGTAAACTCTACTCCCGATGTGAGGCTCGAAATCATGACCCCATAATCAAGAGTCACATGGGATGCCTGGGTGGCTCAGTCGGTTGAGCGTCTGACTTTGGCTCAGGTCATGATTTTGCAGTTGACAGGTTTGAGCCCTGCATCAGGCTCTGTGCTGACAGCTCAGAGCCTGGAGCCTGCTTCAGATTCTGTGTCTCCCTCTCTCTCTGCCCCTTCCCTGCTCATGCTCCGTCTCTGTCTCAAAAATAAATAAACATTTAAAAAAAAAAAAGAGTCACATGCTCTACCAACTGAGCCAGTCAGCTTCCCCCACAGGCATTTTCCATTTTGTTAAAGCATCTTCTCAAAATGTGGCACAGATTGCTTTTGAAAGGGTCTTTGGAAATGGAGGGTAATTTTTGGAAGAATTGACTTTCCTGCAAGGGTCAGTGAAGGCAGGGGAGTGGCTCCACCCATCTTGGGGTGAGGAGGAAGAAAGGAAAACACTGTTGCCTGCAAGTGGCACTGCCTTTGACCCACAAACAGAAACAGCCTGGGGCTGGCCCACCCTGTTCACGCGGTGCTGGAGGCCAAGAACGCTGGCTGAGCAAATGCAGCAAGCTCGGTCCCCGCAACTCTCTGGAAGGGGCTACGGCCACCACACAGCTCTACGGCTAATCCTCTCACAACAACCTCCGTCCTCTCAGATATCCTCAAGTATATTGGAGTATCTCTCTCTGTGGCTTAATTTTATGAATGAATAATACAGTCACATGGTTCAAAACTAAAAAGGTATAAAATATATAACGAGGGGCATCTGGCTGGTTCAGTCAATAGAGCGTATGACTCTTGATCTTGAGGGTCGTGAGTTCAAGCCCCACATTGGGTGCAGAGCTTACTTTAAAAAAATGCATTAAAACAACAACAAAAATATGTATGTATGAACATATATAGTAGGGAAGGGGGAGAGGAAGACTTTTTGTTATATATACATGTACGTATACATAGACTCACATGCACATAGTACATATATAATGTGTATACATATATGTATGTAATGAAGTCTTCCTTTTCCCCTTCTTTAGTTCTGTTCCTCACGTATAACCATTGTTGTTAAGTTTTTTATGTGGGGTTTTCCGGAGATATGTATATAAATACACATATACAAGTAAATACGCACATTATATATCACCCCCTCTGCCTTTTAAATTAACTGCTGACTTATGAGTACTGTATGTATTTTTTTACATTTTTAAAAAATGTTTTATGTTTATTTATTTTTGAGAGAGAGACAGAGCATGAATGGGATAGGGGTAGAGAGAGAGAGAGACAGAGACAGAGAATCCGAAGCAGGCTCTAGGTTCTGAGCTGTCAGCACAGAGCCCAACGCAGGGCTCAACCCACGAACTGTGAGATCATGACCTGAGCTGAAGTCGGATGCTTAACCACCTGAGCCACCCAGACACTCTGCATTTTATTTTTAAATTTAATGTGTATCAGTACACAAAACATCCTCAATCTTTGGTATGGCTAGATAGAATTCCATTGTACTGTATGGAATGCCAGACCCCATAGATCGACCTTTAGATTTTTCTTCAGTTGTTTGCTATTACAGAAAAATGTTACAAAGAATAACTGCACATACATCATTTTGCACCTTTGCAAGTATATCTGAGGAATATTTTCCTGGAAGTAGAATCACAAGAACAGATGGTTTGTGCATTTTTAACTTTCACAGATCTCGCCAAATCGCCCTCCATAGGGGTTGTTCCAATTTACCTTCCCACCAGCAATGTATCCTGGCAACACCTGAATCTGTTTGGGCCAAATTGCCCTCTCTTTTTCTGGGTGCCATGCTGTGGTCCTAGTAAAGCCTGTCTCTTTGGGCCTAGTTACCCTCTGCTGTGTACAGGACTACACTAACCTAGAAGTTGCCAGAATTCAGCCAGTCGGTAGTTAAATGTTTATAGAGTACCTGCTACAAATTCAGCATCATCTTAGGCACTAAGGCTACTGTTCTGGCTTTGGGAAGCTTAAGATGTTCAGAGGAAGAATTAGACTGCTGAAGAGAGGTGGCTGTGTTTTAAGTTGTAAGAGTAACATGTTCTGAGTGCCGTGCACCTAATTCCAGGAAGAAGTCACGTGGGTAAGCATGATCTGGGAGCCTGTCGCTGGGATGGAGAGTTTGAATTTCAGTTGTGATGGGGGGTGAGTGTGAGGTTGTTGAGGTGAGAAGCAAGGTCGGCTACTCCATGCTAGCTATGGATGTACCAGAGAGAGGAGCTACAGTCTGATGTCATAGGAAGTAGGGAGCTACTGGCAGGTTTGAACCAACAAAAAGAGTGACCTTGGGTTTTTCTCAAACCTCACTGAATTCTGAGTAGCTCATTGCTACTCTAGCTCATTGCTAGGATGAGCCTACCTGGGTTTTGGTTTCCCAGTGAAAGGGGAATGTAGCTGCAGGTCACTTCTTTTTTTTTTTTACATTTATTTATTTTTGAGAGAGTGAGACAAAGTGAGAGTGGGGGAGGGGCAGAGAGAGGGAGACACAGAATCTGAAGCAGGCTCCAGGCTCTGAGCTGTCTGCACCGAGCCCGATGTGGGGCTTGAACCCACAAACCATGAGATCGTGACCTGAGCCGAAGTCGGACGCTTAACCAAATGAGCCACCCAGGCGCCCCATAGCTGCAGGTCACTTCTTGAGGCTTTTCCTGGACCATCCACAGCAGGCCAATCTAGGGTAAACTTAGGGAAGAGCCAGGGAGTTTCTGGGAGAAAATTATTGTGGTGACAACTGGGGAGCAAGAAATGGGCCTTCCCGCTTCCCGTGGTTTGCTTTGATTTTCTGATGAAGTGTGGTGTTTATGAACTAATCTTGCCTTTTCCCCATGTGTACCTCCACAGACTAGCTTCCTTTTATGAAATTGCAATTCCCGAACTGGAGTCTGCAATTAAGAAGAGGAGGCTTGAAGATAGCAAGTGAGCCGGGGCCAAAACTAAGCACGTTGTTGTGGGAGAGAGAGGCCCTGCCTTCCCCGGGCTTTAACATCCCTATCTCTCAGACAAGGAAGTGGCACCATGGACTGTGCAGCTCTAGCTTCAGTGTCCCTACCTAGCAGCCTCCTGGCCCCTGCATCCTAACCTTTTCTCTCCGCTGTTGCTCTAAGCTCTTGGTAACTGGCATACTGGTTCCCCACCCACTGTTTAAACTGAGAAGCGGCCCTGGAATCGGCTGGTCTCTCAGGGCCTGTAACCCTTTGCTGACAGTGACTCGTGAGGCTTTCTCAGCTCTGGAGAGGGACACCTGCAGCTGTTGAGAATAAGCTCCCTTCAGACCTTTTAATCTCCCAAATCTCAGTTTTTGTTTTTTTTTTCTCTCGGGGGCATTCAAAGGCTGCTAGGTGACCTGTGGCAGAGGCTGTCCCATTCCAGGAAGAAGCTACTGGAGATTTTTCACATCCTCATGAACCAGATTTGCCTCCTCCCTGTCCTGGAAAACAGGTGAGCCCTCAGGAGCAGCTTCCTGGGTAGAAGAACCCCTCCCCAAGCCCAGCAGAGGTATTTCCCTCATGTCATCTGCCCCCTTCCCTGCTCTGGGATTGCTGAGCAGAGATGGGGAAAGAGACAAATGCCTCTTTCCTCCAACTGGCCTGGGGCCTTGCAGAGGGGCAGGGCAGACAGCAGGGAGGGGAGTTATAGATCCTTTGCATCGAATGAACTCATCTTCCCTGGTGTCCTGTTCCAGCTGTGACAACATTCAGGGCTTCATCGAAGAGTTCCTGCAGATCTTCAGCTCCTTGCTGCAGGAGAAGAGGTGAGTGTGGCCGAGCGGGGACCAGTCCACACGAGGCCTTACATCCCAGAGCCTCTACCATATGCTCATCATGGTCTAAGGTTCTGGGATTTGTGGTTGGGCAGCAGACCAGTTTGCCCCAGCCCTGTCCCTTCCATCTGCTCTCTGCCTGGCAGGTTCCTCCGGGACTACGACACACTCTTCCCTGTGGCCGATGATGTCAGCTTGCTACAACAGGCCTCAGCAGTCTTGTATCCTACCACAGCCACTTGACAGGACCTGGCCTGGCCAGGTTGGAGTTGGGCTGCTAGGACCCAGAGGAGCAGAGGGAGGTTTATCCCCAGAATACTCGGGTCAGCCAGTTTTCCCCAGAGGCCCACCAAAGTCCCAGCCCCTGTTTCTGGAGGAGATGACTACTCGGATCCTCGGAGCTGGGTGGGGTAGTGTCCTGCATTCTTTAGGCGTTTACTGAGTGTCTGGGCCCATGTGACCAACGTGGACTCAGCCCCACTGTCACAGACCTCATTGCAGGAGAGGAGACAGACAAGTAAACAAGCAGTTGAAGTGTCATATGGGAGAAATCAAGAGGACAGGAAAGCCAAGGAAGGCACCTAACCCTGCAAGCTCAGGGAAAGGCTGTGAGATGGAGGGGCTCTCCAAGCCGAGACCAGCAGAAGAAATTGGAGGTGGCCAATCCCAGAGCTAAGTGTTCCCAGTGGATGGAGGACAGAGAGGCCCATCTGAGGAGCCCACAGACATTTTGTGTAGATCTCAGGGTGGGGCTGGGGGCTTGGGGTCTAGTGGGAGGAGGCTGTGGCATGGCAGATGAGCTGGGGATGAGCAGACCTGCACGGCTCTGGGATGACTCTCACTAAGAAGTTTGGACTCTATCCTACAAGCACTGGGGTGTCATGGGAGAGTGTGAAACAGAGAGTAACAGGGTCAGTTTTATACTTTGGAAAAGCTCTGTCTGGCACAGGGAGGAGAAAAGACTGACCTGAGACTTCTGTGAGGCCCAGGGGCTGGTGAGGATACTGTTGCTGGCATCCAGGGATGGCCGGGGGGCGCTAGGTTAGAAGTGGAAGGAGGGAGTCTAGGGCAACTCCCAGATGTCTGGCTTGGCAGTGCCCAGGGTGGTAGAGAGGGAGGAAGGACAGGGAGGAGGGCCTGTGGGCCATTTTGGAGGCTGGGCTAGATTGCGCAGTCTTGCCTTAGGGATACCCTATGGGCCCCCTTTGCAGGAAGCCCTCAGTAGTCAGACAGGAAGCCCCTTTGGCAGTGACCCCATCAGGCAGGCCCTCCTCCTGGGGGGTCAGTGCAGAGGAGGTGCTGCTGGCTCCTCCAATTATCAAGTCCTAGGATGCCCCTGGCCCTGTCTTCATCCAGAGCTGCTTTCTGCTGAGTGACAGGTACTAGGTTTCAAGGCTAGCGTGGCCGTGGTCTGGCCTCTTTCCCCAGGCAGCCCTGGTACCTGCAATGCCCACTGGGTACGGCCCAGATAGCCCCTAACACAAGTCATAGGGTCAGATGCGGAGGCAGGATTGAGAAATTATGTTGCCTTAGAGCTAGAGAGGCAGAAAAGGCTTTGGCACCGGAGAGAGAGACACCTTAACGTGTGTCACAGGGACGAGACTCGGACTGCCTACATCCTCCAGGCAGTCGAAAGTGCTTGGGAAGGGGTGGACCGACGGAAAGCCACAGATGCTAAAGACCCACTGGTGGCTGAAGACCCTAATGGGGTCATTGCGATGGTGGAACCAGTCAGTGGACCGTTCTCACATCTGGAAAACTCAGAGGAAGAGGAGGTATGTGTCTGGAGCAACATTTTCCCCTGCTTCCCCTGCCCCTTCCAGGAAACCTGTCCCTCCTTTGTTTCAGCTCTCAGAGAAAAAGGTTTCTTTTGGAATTGACAGCCCTGAGCCTGCGGGTCAGCTCCGTGCTGCCTTTAGAGAGTCTGCAAGTCCCTTCAGCTGCCAAACCCCCATTTCTCCTCTGTAAAATGAAGTGATGGAGCTTTTTCCACGTGAAATCCTTCCCAGAGCTCTCCTCTAAACAGATCACCATGTAGCTGCTTTGGATGCAGTGGAGAGCAGCGTCTGGTCTCACTGCTTAGCCAGCCTGGACGCCCTGCCGTGGGACTGCAGGGCTCCACTAAGCAAGTGTGGAAGCCTCTGGTGCTCCAGGCTCTTCCAGAACTCGCCAAATCTATGGCCATACAGATTGCCCACTGAGCCCAGGACTCTTCCCTGCAAGTTGGGAGGCAGTGTGACATAGGGATTAAGACCACAGTCTCTGTGGGTCTCTGGGGTCAGACAGCTCAGGGGTATACCCTCGTTCTGCCACTCACCAGCTCTGTGGCTGGAGGCATATCACTCACATCTAGCCTCTGTTCCCCATGTCTAAGGTGGGGATAATTGCCATCCCTGCCTCCACAAGGTTGTTGGGATTCCCAGAGCTATTGGGTGCAGTGCCCCAAGCCTGGCTGGCCCTATGCACTATTAACAGATGCTGCTCTCCTTCCTGTGTTAGACTCAGGCCCTGTGGCTGTCACAGGGCCTTGGAAAATGACAGTCCCCTCCACTCTTCCCACCTTCTTCCCCATTTGGCTTCTCTGAGACACGGATGATTTTTATTGTTGTTGTTTTGATTTTGGAATTTCCTTAAATGAAAATCCTAACAGAATTAAGCCGCATCAAGCAGGATATGAACTGAATCCCCCTCATTAAAAAGAATATAATCAAAGGGGAGCAAAGCCCGTACAGTCCAGGGCTGGTGGTTGCTGTTTCTCTCCAACATCAGCCATTAACTTGTTAGAGTTGGAAAAGGATTAGTCGAAGCCACAGCCATTTGTGGGGTGCCTGGTCTTCTCCAGGCACCATGCTCAGCCTTATTCTCTTTGAACCGTCTGAAACAACTCTGTGAGGTAGAAGGCAGTACTCCCATTTTACATGGAAGAAGCTGGGGTTCAGAGAGGGGAAGTGCCCTGCCCCAAATCACACAGCCAGAAGTAGCTCAACCACTAAGTCATAGAGCCACTCCCTCTTCACATGGTTTCAGGAATTGGAGACTCAAGAGACCTGGGCCACTTGGCTGAGATCTTGGCCCAGGAATGGCAGGGCCAGGACTCAACCAGGTCCCCTGATTCCTAGTCCTGTGGTATTTGAGGTCTGTTTCCTATCACCCACTTGGTCTGGCCTTTCCCTCCTTCACGGTAGCTCTCTCCACAGTGTATGGGGGCAGCTGCTCCCTTGGGCCCCCCTGTGTGTGGCGTGGAGCTGGACTCGCTCATCTCCCAAGTGAAGGACCTGCTGCCAGATCTTGGTGAGGGCTTCATCCTGGCCTGCCTGGAGCATTACAGCTACAACCCGGAGCAGGTGATCAACAACATCCTGGAGGAGCGGCTGGCCCCTGCCCTCAGCCAGCTGGACCGCAGCCTAGACAGGTGGGAGAGATAGGTGGGAGGGGGTTCATGGCGCCCAGGCTGTCTCAGGGCCCTGGCCAAAGGTGCTCTGGGGGCCATGTCAGGGCCCCTTCTTAGCTTCTCTGCTTCCCACACCTGTGCCAGAATTCTGCCTTCTCTCTCTTCCCTACAGCAGTGTTCCCCAGCCATTTAAATGAATGGCCTCCTTGGGAACACATCAGAACTTTAGGCCCTCCCGGAGGTTCTCACATGCCCCCTGCAGGGGAGAGAGTGTGCACAGCTGGACATTGCAGCTGCTCCTTGCTGGAAGGCCCATCAGAAATGTGGGATGTGACAAAGGGGTTGCTGAGCCTTTTGGAGCTCCAAAGTCTCTGGCTTGCCCCTGTCATTGGCACCTTTCCAGTAGATTCCTGAAGGAGGATGGCCAGAGCTTCTCACTTTCTTCATTCCTACCCTTTCTGAGTTTGACCCATTGCTCCTCTGAAGGCCTGTGGAGCAGCAGGAATGAGTGCACAAATGGGTGTTTCTTCCGCAGACAGACGATGTTTATTGAATGAATGAAGTTAGCTCTGCCTTTGTACAAGTACCTTGGCCACTTTGTGCCCATTTTACAGAGGAGGGCACTGAGGCCCAGAGAGGTCGAGTGATCTTAGCTACCTATGTTATAGGACTCTTGTGAGTGTTCAGTGAGGGAGGGAACTTTTGAGAAAATCTCTGAATGGCACATGGGACTGAGGGGGAACTTTGTGTCAGGCATGGCTGCATACCCAGGTAGGGGCCAGACAGGGCAGGTTTTTTAGATCGTGTCTCATGTGGCTGTTGAAGGGGAGTAGAGAATCTGATGCATGTAACATGGTTCGGGTCAAGAGAGCACAGGTAGACATCAGCTGACCTTTCTCCCTTGAATGGATTTCTCTGTCACCCCCACCCCAGACAGGTGAAACCAGACCCGACACCCCTGCTCACATCTCGTCACAACGTCTTCCAGAACGATGAGTTTGATGTGTTCAGCAGAGATACAGTGGACCTGAGCCGGGTGCATAAAGGCAGGAGGTGAGTGCAGTGGGCTTCAGCGTGCCAGGCACCCCAACTCTGTAAGTGCAGTGAGAAAATTGAGAGAAACTAAGGACTCCGTGTTTACAGAACTGGCTTGAGTTTTGGCTCAGCGTCCCCCCAAGCAGTCCAGGACCTGTGTGCTCCCAGCAGGCAGGAGCAGGTTCTCTGATACTTATATGGTAGGCTCTGACTCTGACAGGGTGTTTTTTTGTTTTTTTTGTTTTTAATGAATCCCCTTGTTGATAGCAAAAGGCCAAAGGGACCTAAACTGTTCCCCTCTTCCCTTCCTACATCTTGGGATGTGTCAACCATCAAATCTCTGGGTGATAGAGCTGAGCAGTACTTCCTAGAAGCTGCTCCTCGACCTGATTTTCTCCATTCTGTGGCAAAATGAGAAAACTAAGGACCTGTACTAAGTCAGCTTTTCAGAAGGTGAACATACTCAATTTTAAGGTCTTTCTACTTATTTTTAGTTTATGTCCTTCCTACTTTTTTTGGCATTGAAAAGTCCATTTATGATTTATTCATTCATTCAACAAATATTTGCCTGGTGCTCATGGCATACTAGGCCCTGGATTTATCAGGTGCTGGAGGTGTAGTGGACAGTGAGACAGACATGGCCACTGCCCCTGTGGAGTTTTCACTAATCACTTTGTCAAACAAGCAAAGTAAAATTGCAAATATAATAGGCACTATAAGGTGCAGGTGTGCAGACTTCTGAACCTCTGGTAGAGGATTCAATCCAGAGAGGAAAGCTTGAGGAAATGACATGGGACCAAGAGTGGAAGTGTGAGGAAGGGCCAAAGGGCCAATTCTGTAAAGAGCGGGGAAGGAGAAACTTTCTAGGAAGAGTGAAAAACAGAGGCAATGGCCCCGAGGTCATGGGGAACATGATGAGGGTCCCATGAGCTGACATGTTTTGGAAAGATCACCTGGCTTTGGAATGGAGGCCCACTGGAGGGACCAAGAGTCAGTAGTGATGATAGAGAGTTCAAGAGAAATGAGTAACTCTTGGCAACACTATGCTAGCCCCTAGAGTTCTACTAAATTGTATTGGTTCATGAAATCCAGAAATCTGGGAATTGCTGGACGAGTACAGCCTGCCCTCCCCCCATTGTATATATGGAGACAGCAAGGTTCAGAGAAGGGCAATGGGGGACCTGCCCCCTTCTTGCGATAGGAGCCCCAGTGGCAGAATTACAAGCTGCTGCTTTGGTGAGGGCCCCATGCTGGAAGCTTGGCTGGCTGAGGGCTTTGGGGAGCGGGCGCAGGGCAGCTATAAAGCCATCTGGCTGGCTGGACAGGAAGCATTTGTAAACTGCTTAGTCACACACATTGCGACATCCCCAGATCCCAGGCAAGAGATGTTATCCTGCATCCGTGGCCACTGTTCCAGGTCTGAATGACCCTCTGCAGGTTCTGTTGTGGAGAAAGAGGCAGATGAGGAGGGCCGGGCCCTGCTCCTAGGGCACTACAAGCTGCCAGGTGGAAAGTCTAGGAGGCAAATGTTTACTGAACTCCTTGTGCTGGGTAGCCCAGGGGCTGGGATTGCAAAGAGGCAAAGCCTCCATTCATGTGTTCATTATTTACTTATTAATTCAGCAAATATTTATTAAGTGATCTACTAGTGCCAGATCCTGTGCTAGATACCAGGGAGACAAGGTGAGCAGGGCACCCGGGCCTCGCTCTCAAACGATGCAGAGACTATGGGAAAGATTTAAACCATTAAACAAGTAGTGACAGAGTGGGAGAGATGCCGGGGTGGGGCATACAAGGGCCTCCATAGGGACTCTTGTCCTAATCTGGGCAGGGCAGTCAAGGGGCACATGAGAAAAGTAGCACAAGGTCACACTTGAGTTACAATGTGTGTATGGGTTAAATCAGATAGGATGCACTCAGTGGCTCAAGTAATAGGGAAACCTGTCCCTTGTACGAAAGGGAGTTGCAAGGTAGGTCTGTCTAGGTTTGGTTAACCTGTGGTACAGCCTCATCATCAAGGATACATCTTTTCCATCTCTGCGAGCTAGTTCCTTCGAAGCCACTGGGTGGCCACAGCTGTTTCAGCTATGACCTCCAGAAATGACAGTGCCAAGAGGAAGTCTGGACCAGGTCTTCCTGTGTTTCTCTTATAGACCAGGAAGCCTTTCCTAGAAGTTTCCAGACGCCACTCACATCTCAGTGGGGAACTGGGTCACAGGGCCAAGGTCCAGGGCTCCAGGAGAAGGGGGAAAGGTGGAAAGACCTGAACCAAATGAGGGTGTGTTAGGAGTGGGGGTGAGGTAGAGGGTGGCTGTTGGGTAGAGGCCAAGCACATGTGCTGCAGGTATATCATAGCTACATGAAGGAGGCGGTGTGTATAAGGTGGGATCCCATAAATTCCTTGGACTGAACAGTGGTACCCTGGAAGATTATGAGTGTTCTCCCTCAAAACAGGCTCTATGGCCAAAAAAGTCTGTGCGCTTTCTTCTTGGTGAGTCACAGAGCACATTAGCACATTAAAGGCTCTGATAAGTCCTGCAGTAAAAAGAAATAGGATTCATTTTGTTGAGCCCAGCATGTGCCAGGTTCATTTCTAGTCATCATCTTATTTCATCCCTGGGATGCAGAATTAAGATTTGGCAAGGAGAGGCACCTGGGTGGCTCAGTCGGTTAAGCGTCTGATTCTGGTTTCGGCTCAGGTCATGGTCTCGTGTTTCGTGAGTTCGAGCCCTGCATCAGCCTCTGCACTGACAGTGCAGAGCCTGCTTGGGACTCTCTCTCTCCTACTCTCTCTGCCCCTCCCCTGCTCACTCTATCTCTCTCGAAATGAATAAATAAACTTAAAAAAAGACTTGGCAAGGATAAGAAGTTTGCTTGTGATCGCACAGCTCAAGAAGTACCCCAGCAGACTTGAGTCAGTAGACCTGTGTTCTAGCACTGTGGCTCTGCTGGTAGAAGCTGTGTCACCTTGGGAAAGTTGCTCTGCCTCTTGGGTTTCCTTACCTATAAAAGGAAGGGTTTGTTGCCTCTACACGTCCCTTAGAAGTTCAGAGGTGGCAGTCACGCCCCTAAGGGCCAGTTTGAGTTGGGCCTTGAAGGATAGGCCGGAAGAAGTGAGGAGGGGAAGAGTGACTCAGCTTCAGGGAAGCCCACACATTCCCTGGATTCCCTGAGGAAGCACCTGCTCCGAAGAAATCTCTGAAGCCACTGTTGCCTGTGTTTCCAGACTTGACTGGAGTTTAGGCCTCAGATGAATCTTTTCCTGGCTGGTTTTGACCCTCACTTTTCTTTTCCTTCCTGGCTCCAAAGGGGGCTCATGGGACCAAAGCTGCACCTCCCTGGATGGGGATGCCCAGGGCACCAGGCTCCTCTGTCCCTGCCTGTGCCCTCTCCCAGGACCCTGGGTGGGTGGAGTTTGCAAGGCTTCTCTGGCCCTGCCAGGGAGCCATATAACTAGAGGCCCACAGTGGGGCCAAGAACTAGGGACTGGATGGACCAGGAGCTGTGGGATGTGGCAAAAGGACAGTGATACTTCTCATTCATCCTTGGACGCCTGGCTCAGCACAGGCCCTGGCACCTGGTAGGCCCTCAGGAAATGTATGTGGAGTGAGTAGACGTGTTCCTTCCAGTGGCACTAAACACCCGGGCCCCCTTCACTTGCTCTCTCTTCTCCAGCCCCACCCAGCCTGGTGAAGAGAGCCAGGTAGGAGCCAGGGCCACAGGCACAGGCCCCTTTCCTGGCGTCATACAGAATTTCCCTGTGGACCAAGAATTTTCCCTGGTCTAGATCAAATGCCGC